GCCACTCCCATCCGGTCACATGGGCGGCAAGCCACTCCCACAAAGGAGGCCACACCCACAGAGTAAGTTCAAACAATTTTTGAAACCCACCACTGGTGGAATCACAAAACAGAAGCAGATGGGCCCAGGGCAGCGTTTGTCCACAGGGACCCAAACATTCAAGATAGTGGCCTCAACCATGCAAACGACCCGTGTAAAAAAAGCTGGAGCTTTGATCATATGGTTACAGCTCTCCTGTTGACTTTTTCAACCCTCATCTTTGTAGACATCCATGATTCACAATTTAAAAAAAAAACAGAATTCCAAATCAAATTTTAAAAGACAACTCCTTCAAATCAAACTTAAATCTTAGTGACTCTACGGTATTTTCTTAGCAGGAGTATGGAAGTGATTGGCCACTGCTAACTTCCAGGCAGATTTTGTTGTTGTTGTTGTTGGTTGGTTTCTTCCTAGTCTAACTTACAGGCAAAATGTTGCTTGGTGGTCTCCTATCCAGGTCCTAACCCGATCCAGTCTTGCTTAGCTCCAGATTAGGTCAAGCAGGTACTGTGTTATTATAGCATATGTGTGCCTTCACTCCTCTCTTTCATATCACTTCATATCATTCAGCAACAGCAGTTTTGGGGAAAGCTCTAGAGACAAACCCAAAGGTTTGCAGGCCACATAGGACTTAAGTCAGTACCTTCAAATACAGAGCAAAGAACAGCAAATCAAGTCCTTAATAAATTAGGGAAGAAGTTTGTAGAACAGTATTAACCTTCACCACATTAAGATCAGAGGTGGGTTCCTACCGTTTCAGACTGATTCAGCTGAGTAGGTAGTAACTTTGCCTGCCACACCCCCATACCGGTTGTCTTGGTGCCGCCACAGCAGTGGTGGCTTCTGGATCCCGTTACAACCGGTACGGTGCAACGCAGCCCGGCGTCCACCACATGAACGTGGCGCAGTACACGCATGCATCCTTACCTCTTGCGACGCCTCTGCGATGCTCCAGCTGCTCAGCGGAGCATCGCACAGGTGCTATGAGCTTCATGCGCGAGCACGGAAGCACCGAAGAGCTCAAATACAGATAAGGAGCTCAGGCGGGCCTTCTGGAGCACCATACCGGAACAGTACCAGGTGCTCTGGCCAGGCACCGGTATACTCATACCGGGGCGTACCACCTTCAACTCACCACTATACCATAGGCACTACCATCTTGGTTTTTTTGGTTCTGCGCATGCACAGAAGCATTTTTAAAGTACTGTGCATGTGTACGTAGCGCACATCAAACGTGAGTGTGCAGCGCGTCCCTGAGTGAACCGGCAGTAGAAGCAGCCGGAACCCACCCCTGATTAAGATGTGGGGACTTCAACACCCAGAATTCCACAGCCAGAATGTTGAGAAACAATGAATTAAAGTATCAAGCTAGAAAGTGGGAGACGTGAGTTCTAGTCTTGCGTTACACACAAAGCCAGCCAGGTGACCTTGGTCCAGTCCCTCTTTCTCAGCCCGAGGAAGAAGGCAGCAAGGGAAATCTTGAAAACCACAGCTACCTGCCCAAGCAGCCACCAGAAATGAAAAATTGACTCAAAGGCATATATACCCACAATTTTTTAAAAATCCCATTGAGCCTCCTAGAAAAATAAACCCAAATATTTTAAAGCTATAATTAATAACTGTGTAGTAGGGAGGCCTGAATTCCAGTGCCTGATCTTGAGGCCACGTTGGGCCTCAATTCAAATTTTGAAACTGTTATCTTTCTTGGTTGCTATGTGTTTCAATCTTTGTATTTATGACGGGAATCGTTTTTTTTTTATTTTGCCCCCCAGAGTTATTTGTTGAGATGGGCAAGCCACACGGATTGAATAATGAAATAAATACATGCGCAAGCAGGCAAATTGCACTGCAAACAGGTTCTAGGGCAAAGTTTACATTAATCCCCACACACGCAGCATTTCTCCCTGAAGGTGTGTTAGGCAACAAAGGTGTAAGGCATCAAAGTGCAATGCGTATGCCTCTATAGAAAGAGAACAGACAGTAACTCCCACCCAAAACCCATCTGTGTTTACGTGCTCCCTGGTAAGGGACCACAGAGGACTGAATGCTCTTGGTGACACATTTCCTGGTTTATAATAAACCTATGCTTGATTAGGATTTGTTTGATTTTGTCTTTGTCTGATGTGCAAACTCAGCCATTATCTTCCCTTTCATGTAATCCTCAAATAAACAAATACATTTACTGAGCGGATAAGGATGCTTGTTTGGATACCTAACTGGCATTATAGGGTCTATACAATTGCCGATTGTTAAGTCTATTTACAATGGCTACTGGCCCATACTCCAAAGGAAAAAGGACAGAAGTAAAACAGGGCGGGATTTCTGTAATATAAGCACTTAACATAGAAAAAAACAAGTCCTCTATTATAGTATGGGCATGTATTTCTTCTGTGATTCTCCAAAGCAATCAGCACACTTGGTTGACTGCATTCACACAGTGACAAAAGAAGGATGTTTTAAAGAACAATAATTTGTTTTTGGTTCACACAGAATGATAAACCAATAATGAGTGAGTTTCTACATACAATAGGATACAATAGCAGAGTTGGAAGGGACCTTGCAGGTCTTCTAGTCCAACTCCTTGCCTAGGCAGGAAACCTTATACCGTTTCAGACAGATGGCTATCCAACATCTTCTTAAAGACTTCCAGTGTTGGGCATTCACAACTTCTGGAGGCAAGCTGTTCCACTGAGTAATTGTTTTACTGTCAGGAAATTTCTCCTCAGTTCCAAGTTACTTCTCTCCTTGATTAGTTTCCACCCATTGCTTCTTGTTCTACACTCAGGTGCCTTGGAGAATAATTTGATCCCTCTTCTTTGTGGCAACCCCTGAGATATTGGAAGACTGCTATCATGTCTCCTCTAGTCCTCCTTTTCATTAAACTAGACCTA